GCTGACATCAGACTGCTGCCTCCTATAATTTTCCTAATTACTTTCTCTTCTGTCTCAGTATATGCCTTAACAATGGAAAAGAAAAATTTGAGAAGGCATATTTTAGGGAGTGGTCAGAAGTGGAAGTGAGGCTCTAGAGCAGCTTAAAGAGATGGTGGTGCTTTCCTGATTGTGAAGCTTCTCATCAACTCTCTTCAGTGTGTCTATAACCTACCGTTGTCAGGAGCTGTTGCAAATGGGAAACACTGAACTGGGAAGAAGGAAATAAATATTAACTGAGAGCCGACTCTGTGCCCAGTGTCAGTGCTTGCTTCTGTATTGTTTCATGTAATTAAGAAGCCATTTGAGGAATATTTTTATACCATTTGCAGGTAAGGAAATGAGACACAGACAGGTTAATCTGCCCAAGGCCTTGCAAAAGGGCCAGAGTTCAAATGCAGGTCTCTCAGACCCCGGGTCTGTGTTGTCTCTATTTTAGTTTCTCTACTCTGTTCTAGTTAGCATTCCCTTCAAAAATGAGAGGGAAAGGAACTCCAGTAGAGTGGATACTATGAAAGACACTTGTGTCTGGGGTAAGAAGTGTAATGTCTGTCTGTAACAATAGTTTCATTTTATGAGAAAAAATAAAAACCAATTTTGCATTCTCAGAAGAGTGCTGGCTTCTGGAAGGATTACCTTGCTTTAAGGTGGTAGCTATCGCTTGCTTAAGGGCATAGAAAATATGATTTAACTGCTGAACAACTTTTCTTTTTTGAGACAGAGACTCACTCTGTTGCCCTGTGTAGAGTGCGCTGGTGTCATAGCTCACAACAACCTCAAACTCCTGGATAGCTGGGACTACAGAGGCCTGGCACAATGCTTGGCTTGTTTTTCTGTTTTTAGTAGAGGCGAGGTCTTGCTCTTGCTCAGGCTAGTCTCGAACTCCTGAGGTCAAGCAATCCACCCATCTTGGCCTCCCAGAGTATTAGAATTACATGTAGGCATGAGCCACCATGCCTGGCTTGAACAATTTTTCTCCACAAAGAATGTCATGATTTGTTAATTACCCATTAATTCTACTGGTATTAAATGTGTACTTTGTTGTCCTACTACTGAAGGGGATAGAAAAAGCCAGAACAGTATCAGTGTACCTAGTTTGGAATATACTGACTTTGTCTTTTTTGGCTGAGGTGGCTAAGTGAGAGGGTAAGGTAAGAGTTTTGGGCATGAATGCATGTGTATGTGTGTATGGGTATATAAAAATGAGTATTTGTGGAGTTTACCTTGAACTTCATTCTGCTTCCTAATTCATGCAAAGGAGAGTATTATCTCATACTGATTGTGAACCATAGAAATCTAGCTGCCTCTCTTTGATTGGATTGCCTGCCACCCATACACTTTCTCAGAGGGAAGGAACATTAGGGTTGACAGGGGGGCAGTGCAAAGCTGGACAAGGGGAAAGGGAGACGTTGGCCTGTGAAGCTGAAATGTCTTGGCATGCAGCTTTCTTCAAATCTCTTGAATCTTCCTTTTCAATAACTTGTCATGTGGAATTACAGAGGAAGTAAGTTTGCCAAGAAAGTGAAAAAGTAAACAGTAGTTACTGGAGAATTGATGACTATGTAAAAAACAGTTTCTGAAATAGGGAAAGAGGTTTATATTTGCACTTAAAATTGAAGGAAGGTTTATACTTGCTACTGGAACTAGGTTGACATTTGACTTCCAAAAGCACTACAAATTAACTATCTTAAGTTGTGAAACCAAGTTTGTAACAGACCTGGCAATTAATCACCCAGTGTTTGTCTCTTTAAAAAGTGATGTATTACAGCTCCACCAGGTGGCTGCCGACAATGTGAGTGAGCCTGGCTGACATCTACCAGGAGGAGAGCAAAGCTGCTCTTCGTTTTATTTGTGCATATCAGAGTTGGTTATGTAAAAATGCAGTTTAATGAAGGGCAAAGAAAGGAAAGTATTACATGTTCTTCTTGGAAGTCTGCCTGGCCAAAACAAACAAAACCCCACCCCCAAACCCTCTCATTATCACTGTGACTCACCTTTGACACAGAAATACCCAAATGCCATGGTTTTCTGATGGGTTAACTGTGCTGCAGGTCCATTTATAATGGTGCCCTCATTCTTGCTATTATTTTTGGTGTTTCTAAAAAGACAGAGAATACTTTAGGTCTGTAGGTTAGTTTGGCTTGTGACTTAGAGGCTTGAGTGTGATGTAGTTCGGATGCTAATTATCATAACATCACAACGTGGTAGCAAAGAATGCTGGTGACCTGAATTCAGTCTGGGGCTCTGTTCCTGTTAGGCAAGTGGCTGATTTTTTTTCTGGGCCTCAATTTTCTTTCTTTTTTTTTTTTTTTTTGAGACAGAGCCTCAAGCTGTCCCCCTGGGCAGAGTGCCGTGGCATTACAGCTCACAGCAACCTCCAACTCCTGGGCTCAAGAGAGTCTCCTGCCTCTGCCTCCCAAGTAGCTGGGACCACAGGCGCCCGCCACAACGCCCGGCTATTTTTTTGGTTGAAGCCGTCATTGTTGTTTGGCGGGTCCAGGCTGGGGATTCGAACCTGCCACCTTAGGTGTATGTGGCTGGCGCCTTAGCCGGTTGAGCTATAGGCGCCGAGCCTGGACCTCAATTTTCTTATCCGTGAAATGAGTGAATTATATTAGCTGATCACTAGAAACTCATAGCCGTGCATGTAAGCATTTGAGCCATTTTGTTTTAATTTGGAAAAGAATAAACTTGTTAAGCATTTGAAGCCAAATAGAAAAGAGGAGGGAGGAAAGCTATATTTAGTGTAGACATTTACATTTTTTAAATTAAACTCTACATTATGATATTGATGATAAGAACAAGACAGCCTTCAATATTCTCTCTTTAGATTTAATATGGCACAGCTGTGATAATAAAGTCCATATGTGGCCTCACAGAAAGTATCTGATTAGACATAAAATGTTAAAAACAAAACAAAGAAAACCCTGATAAGTAAATTGAGCTATCAGCTTGTTTAAGGAAGCACAGAGAATTAAAAAACAAAACAAAACCCGCCAACTTTAAAACATTGAAATGTGAAATTCATTGCCACAACTTATTGGTTCTATTCCTATGTAGGTTTAGAGAAAGGAGATAGCTTCTTTCTGTGTGCTAAGTAAATATCTTAATCATTTAAAAATCAAAGGCAGTATAAAATTGAAATCCTAAGAGTTCTGTGTAATAAACATTAGTTTGTTCTTTTGTATTCTAAATATTAATAAAATGATCCCTCAGTGGATTCAAAGCTAAATTGTAGTCAGTAATTATATGCCATTTAATTGATTTTATTTTTTCTTGTTGGTTGAAGACACTGATTTGAAAAAAGCAATAACCAAAATTTGATTCTAGCTTTTAACTCTACAGCCAGTTTAGGAAATAACAAGGAACTGATTGTGGCAGTGATTGGAGTATTAGTCTCTTTGCCCTTGAACCTTGCCCCTTCACAATGAGTGAATTCATTCCTCTTATTCTTTGTGTTTCCTCCCTTAAAAAAAAAAAAAGAGTCAAATCAGGCTGGGTCTGATGGTGGGTATCTGTATCCCAGCTATTCAGGAAGCTGAGGGAGGAGGATCACTTGTTCCCAGGATTTGAAGGTTCCAGGGAGCTGTGAATGTGCTGTGCCACTGTGTACTTGCCCAGGTGACAGAATGATACCCTGGGGTAAGAAAAAGGTGGGGGGGGGAGTTTTATGATCTTCCTTTTATATAGATAAAACCTTAAGTTTACCTTAAATTTAATTTTTTGTTAAAAAGGTGGTTTTCATTTTTCAGAAGACCACTTCGTCCTAATAACCAGGTAATGAAACATTACCAACAAAAAGAATGCATGCATGTATATGCCCACACACACATGCATATTATGTTAATAGATTATTACATATTATTCTTAGTGGTCTTTTGGACTAAGTAATTTTCCCATATCTTTATGTTGAGCAAAAATTGATGGCAGATTTCTGAACATATAATCTTAGCTCTGGAATCTAAAATCTACCTTCTAGTTTTCAGTGTCCTGCTAATTGTGAGTATGGGTTGTATGTGTTCATCTTAGTATGTGTTAAACAGCAGTTGGGACCATTTACTTTGTATTCTTCAATAAGCCTATTAGTCTTTTTACTTCTGTAAGCTCATTTGCCATTTTTGTTTAAAATGGAGGTTGGTGACATGGGGGTGAGAGATAGGAGTTTGGGTTAGGACAATTTCTAATGCCTTTTCCACTTCCAAATACTGTATGACATAATGTGTCAAAATGCTTCAATGACTCTATGACTATATCTATATATATTTATTTGTTCATCATTGACTTGTCTCTTGCTGTGGGGATTTTTTTGTTATACTGATGCTACACTTGGATTTCTGAAAGTTATAATTAAAACATTTACAACAATTTACTTGGCTGTTACAGCTTTAAAACTTTCCAGAAGTGTCTACATCACACAAGAATTTGGGTTGGGTTTCAGACTATGAACAAGGCTGAAAATAAATAGAATCGGGGTCATTTATCAGTAGCCATTCTTTTATTTCATTAATGTAATCAATGTCTAAGCATTTGTTCCAAGGGGTATATATGAGGCTCTTCTATTTTATTAATGGTTTAGCCTTAATTCTGTCTTTTAACTTGCAGTAAATACAAAATAGTTACAGAGTCTATGAGAAGTCTTCCACCTTCTGTGATATAAGCAATAAAATGAATGTAGCTGTCATTCTTTTTCTGGATATTTGGTTAGATGACTATTTTTTCTCTTCTAAAGTCTAATGATTTTTGCATTATTGAAGAAAACAAACCAATGTCTTAAATTATGTCATCATTACTTTTATAATCAAATGATTAGAGATGAAAATGCCTTAATAAATGCAGAGCCTTTTAAAGTCCTTGCACAAAGAACAAGCCAAAGTACTAGATTAATCTGGCATTTTATTGAGAAATTAGACCAACATATATGGTTTTGCACTTTCCATTGTAATGTTGTGTCATTTATTTAGATATCCTTGGAACAGAAGATCTTACTGTGGAAGTGACTTCCAATGATGCTGTGAGATTTTATCCCTGGACCATTGATAATAAATACTATTCAGCAGATATCAATCTTTGTGTGGTACCAAATAAATTTCTTGTCACTGCAGAGATTGCAGAGTCTGTCCAAGCATTTGTGGTTTACTTTGACAGCACACAAGTAAGACGTGTTTTCTATGGAGCTTTGAGTGAGAAATTATGGTGTGCTTTTTAACCCCTAAATTTTATATTTCTTTTCTGTTGTTTTTGCTCCCTCTAGAAATCAGGTCTTGATAGTGTCTCCTCGTGGCTTCCACTGGCGGAAGCATGGTTACCTGAGGTGATGATCTTGGTCTGTGATAGAGTATCTGAAAATGGTAAGGAATGCACATGGGATGGTAGTCGGTATGTATGTTTGCCGGGCCTTTCCCTAACTCAAATAGTGTCTCTCCTGTGACAGTTTTACTTTACAAAAATATTTTCATCGCTTTCTCTTTGGAATTTTGTAATATTGACTTTTTTTAAAAAATGTATACTTGGGGGTTGAGAAATCATCTTTTTTATATTATTTTATTTTAGATGCCTAGAATAAATTTAGAATAACATTGACATTAAGGGAAATACATTGAGATTTGTAGAAAGTATTAGAGGGGTATTTACGTTTTATTTTTACTTAAGTAAGAATCTTTACTTAAAGATTCTTTTGCATATTATTTTAGGTGTAAACAGACAAAAAGCTCAAGAATGGTGCATCAAACATGGGTTTGAGTTAGTAGAACTTAGTCCAGAGGAGTTGCCTGAGGAAGATGGTAAGTGTTTATATGTTGGTAGAAAACATGGCATTTAGATTGAGATATGAGAGGTTATTTTGATTCAGAGATGAATCAGAGCAAAATCTAAGACATTTTTCTCCCAACTATTTGAAAAAATTTGAGCAAATTTTTTTGTGGTTTTACCATTTATTTGATTTCACCACTCATTTTGGGACTTCTGAAAATATTTGTTTTACTTATGGATAAAGGTAAAAGATTTCTATCTAAGATCTTTGTCATTTCCTCATACCTTATTCTTTCTCACTGCCAAAGAAGGAGAGCGAGACCTCTATTTATAGATAAATCTTATGTTTCTTATTTTGAATTAGTAGTAACCTAAGGCTGAATTCTCAGGAACTCTAGAGAGCATGTCAGATCGGTATGTATATCTTCTGGATGTTTGAAACCAAAAATAGACTGAGAATGCCCTCCCTTCCTCCTCACCACCAAGGGTATCTCTCCTTTAAGTGTTTTCTGCTGCTGTTTGGACCTTCGATTTCTTTCCTCTCTTCATCCTCCCTCCCCAGTTTTTCTTCTCCTCTTTTTTCCTTCCAGTATACCTATTGTGGGATCTACCAGGATAAGATGGGTTTTGGCCCATCAGAACTTTAGAATCTGGTACAAGAGATAAAATGTGTATGCAAATAATTGAATTACCAAGTGGAAGCTATAAATGTTATAGAAGAAATACTGGTGCTATTGTATTTCAGATATGGGAGAGATTATTTCGGTTTAGAAATTCAGAGACCTGTTGGCACCATGAACTCTTACAAGTCAACTGCTCCACAGAGAAGAAGTGGAAAAAGTACTGAGCTTATAGTTAGAGGACCAGTATAAAGGTGGCATTGAGAAGGTGCCAGTTGTTCTAAAATACATTCTAGCAGGGGCAACTAATATGAATTTAAAGTACATAGATAGGACATAAACAGTCATTATATGAAATTTTTTTTGTATTCTGGCTTATTTAGAATTTTTCCAAAATCCTGTTACCTTTGATAATAAAACTCTGTCAAAGAAGAAGAGAATAAAAATGAAATAAAAAGCCTGATTTTTCTCATTTTATCTTTTTAAGAATATTCAAAAGTAGCAAGGGCAGCTTCTTTTTCTGTGTTTTTCTCGGTCCCTTAAAACTTGTGCTCTGTTTTGTATGTATAAACATATGTGTAATTGATTATTTCTGGCAGTAGAAATCTGTCTTTGCCCCATTGTCTTGGGGAGTCAGTATGTGACAGTTATAATATTGGAATTTCTGCTCCTTGATACCACTATATTTCTCCTTGCCCTTTGTCTGAAGAGTATTCTTTTATTAATTCAGCTTAATTTTAAAATAGGTTTTTTGACATGTCATTTTTAGGAAAGGTAATGAAAACCATCCTAGAATTTTTTTAATATAAGCTTTTCTCAAGCTATATTTCCTCATCTTTTATTTGCATGTATTATTAGAACATCAACATGGAACATTATGTTTATTTGTATTAAATTTCATCTTACTCTTCTAGCTCTTCATTTCAGACCAGTTTTTGGTTCCTCTTTGTATTATCCAATGTATTAGTTATTCTTTCAAGAATTAAATCATTCGTAGTTAAGATAAACATGCCTCTTATGTCTTCATCTAATAATTGATAGTGATAATCTCATCTCAGTAGAGTGTTTTCAGTTTAGTCCTCACCACATTTTTGTTAGGTTGGTATTCTTTAAATGATTCATCAAGCCATGAAATATTTGTTGAGTATCTGCTGTCTCTAAGGACCTATGTTAGAGAGTGGGCCTAATGAACTTGTAAGACAAAATTCCTGCTCTCAAGGAGTTTCCAGGAGAGGGTTATACCAGCAAATCATCAGTTCTAGTATACCTTTCCTCCAGGAGAGGTGTGCATGGAGTAGTGTCATCCCTTTTTGAGGGTGGCATAAGTCATTTGCCCTTATCAAATAGCTAATAAAGGACAGAGCTAAGGTTCAGATTAAGATCTTCTAACTTCAAATTCTGTACTCTTCCTGTTAAACCACCCAGGGCCAGGCTAGGCCACTAGAAATAGGTTCTCTGTGTTCTGCAAACTCTTAGGATACTTTTCTTTTTCAAGCATTTCTATTGTTGGTGTTATTTTCTGCTTCTATTTTTCATATGCAGTTAATGGAAAACTATTTCTGCTGTTGTTTTCCATATGCAGTCTTATGGCCCTCAGTATCTAAAGGATCTCCATTTTCTTTGTATACAGTCATACCTACATTGTAGCTAAGAATACCACCTTTTTCTTGTTGTGCTTAACTGGGATTATTGACCTGTTATTTTGAGTAATGTCAGTCAATTTCACAAACATTATAGTACCAATACTAATCAAACTAGTTATAATGACTCCTTTCCTGTCTCTTGCTCTTACAGTTGTAGTAATTTCACTTCTCACTCTTCAAGTATCTTTCTCTGATCAAAAAGTTCTTTGGATATCTACCATAAGTAATACTATTCTATGGTTCCCAGCAGAAGATAGAGCATTTATAGGATTTTATAGCATACTTAGAAGATCATACCCACCCTTAGGAATCTCATTCTCTATAGATACCAAGATTGGTATCTCTGGTACTGTACCTAGAATATGTAATTAAATAGAATCTTACATTTTCAGGAGAATGGGAGGGATTCCATTGGTGAGGCAATAGGGGTGAGTTTGTACTTCTCTTATATTGTGTGTATGTAATTATTTTAGTGTTTGGAGTATTCTTATCAGAAGCTCTAAGCTCTATATTTGTTTTTGTCCCCTTATGTAAGTTATAGTATAAATTAATAAGTAAATGAGCAAGATAATGAAACCACAGTTATTTGAAGATATGACTTTGGGGATATATACACACATATATATGAATGTATGTGTGAGTATGTATATAAATATATATTTTCCCTCTCTGATTAGATGACTTCCCAGAATCTACAGGAGTAAAGCGAATTATACAAGCCTTAAATGCCAATGTCTGGTCTAATGTAGTGATGAAGAATGGTAAGTAATGGGGGAGCTAATGTCATTTTTTTCCCCTTATTATTTTTAACTTTTAAATTATTCGGATATATGTGGAACTGTTAGAATTATGTGAAATTTGTAGATTTATTTCAATTTCAAATCCCTGCTTGAAGGAAGAGGTAAAGGTAACGTTTCTAGAAATTTTAAATATATGTTAATATTTAATTCAATACCAATTTAGAGGTTGCCTAAAGCATTGTCTTTGGCTTTGAGAAATACCTCCAAGATTTTAACACATTAACTCTATCATTAAGGAGCACATGTCCCAGCTGTGCAATCCAGATGTGCACATTTCAAGTGCCAGGTCACTATGCAAGGCAGTCTGTGATAAGTGCAAAATGATTGGTGTAGGCAGTGAGTGCACAGAGTTGGAGATGTGGCCATTGTGTTAGGCTCAAGTATATAGCAAGAGCTTTAAGGAGAAGGTAGGACCTGATGGCAGTCTTCATGGGATGATGAAGATTTGGGCTGATGGAATGGAAGAATGACAAGCAAAGGAGGAAGCATGGCATCAGGGATAATTGTTGTAGAGTCTGGAGAATCTCACTAGGAGAATCTCACATAGCAACTGGAGTTAGCTTAGAAAGAGGTCTGAATGCTAGGCAGGAGAATCTGGGCTTTTTCCTATAGGGATTGGTGAATCATTGGAGATTTTTTTAACAAGGGAGTAATACGAAGAAGTTGGTCTCTTTAAAAGGTTAATGTCATTGTGTTGTGCAGAGGGAGTTGGCAGTTGAAGCAAGTCAAGGTAGAACCCGAAGTCAGGGAGACCAGGAGTATTGCAGCAGGTCAAGAGTGATATATTTGGACCTGGACTGAGATATGGCAGTGGTCCTGGGACTTCTGGAAGGCTAGATCTGAAATGCAGTCTGAAGAGGGTTCACATTCAGTAACCTCTTATAGTCTGCATTAGTTTGCTTGGGCTGCAGTAACAAATTACTGCAGCCTAGATGATTTAGAAAAACATGAATGTATTGTCTCACAGTATTGTAAGCCAGAGGTCCAAAAGTAACCTATCTGTTGAGTCAGGCTCCTTCTGAAGGTGCTAGAGAGGGGTCTGTTTCAGGTCTGTTTTCTAGCTTCTGGTAGTTAGTTGGCTTGTGGCAGTATAACTTTAGTCTTCCCATGACATTCTCCCCGAGTGCCTGTGTCTACTTTTCTCCTTTCTATAAGGACAGCAGTCACATTGAATTAGAGGTCTACCCTGTTGCAGTATGACCTTATCTTAACTAATTACATCTGCAGTGAACCTGTCTCCAGATAGGGTTACATTCTGAAGTATTAGAGGTTAGAACTTCAACATCTGAATGAGGTAAGGGGGATATAATTCAGTCCATAACATAGTCCTTCCGGAATTGCTGCCTGTGTAACGTTTTTCTTTCTTACTGCTCTTGGCTGCCTCAACAAGTATGCTCTGCTGAGTGAAACACTACAGAAGGACTAAGAAAAATATTTTACAGTGAGCCTGCCACATCTTCTGTGAGATAAAGGGTCCGGTGGAAGATTAATTTATAGAAGTTGAATATTTCACCTCAATTTTTAGTAGACACTTGAATCTTAAGAGAAATTGGCACCCATTAGCCTGCCTGAGGTGTGATCTAATCCTTATTATCATTGGGGAAACTCCTCTGACATAATAAGGTATTTCTTTCTCTTCTTTCCTTCCCCTCTCTCCTTCCTTCTTTCCCCTTTTCCTTTCTAGGAGAAATTTTTTTATGTCTGTTACATTGAATTTCAAAGATACTAGATTTTATTATATTGCTATAGCAATCAAAATAAGGCCCTCATCTATTTAGAAGAAACAAGGACATTTTACCCTATGTTGTACCTTTCTGTAACAAAACAAACTCAGGTTATAGCTTGGTCCTTCTCATTCATTCAGCAAGTCTTCGTTGAACATTTACTGTAATGTAAGGCGTTGCTCTAAACTATCTACACTATAAAAATAAGTTTAAGATTTAGTACATAAACTAGATCAATTTAGAATTAAATTATATTCAGTGATGCTTTTTATATTTATGAGAATATTTTCAGAAAACCTTATTTGGTTTCAATCACTTTTTGAAAAATATTTTTCCTAAGTTCATACGTTAAAGAATTACTGCCTTGTAGTGTATACTTATGACTATAAATTTTGAAGCTGGACTAAACACACTTTATTACTTTGGAAGTATGGTCAAAGATGTCTTCTGAAAAAAAGGCTATTTTACTTGTCTTAGGTGTTAAACAATATTCCTAAATGAACTGCAAAGCAAAGAGGCACCTTGTAGATTACTCATGGTTCTTTGCCCTGTGAAGTGTCTTTGCTTTCTTCTTTTTTCTCTGTGGTGCTGGTACATTGGTTTACTGTTAACCAAAACCCACAGTATTGCCATTAGCTTAATTCCACATTTAAGACAATCCTGGCCTGTGTAGTATGAGGGAAAGTAAGCTATCTATGCTCTAGGAGAAGCCTGGAATATGATGCAGTGACATTTGAATGCAACTCAGGTATTTAGAAGCGTGAAGGACATCCTTGTAGATCCCTGAATCTTACTTGAGAGATAAAACTCTTGGATTTATGGTAGGTCATATTACTCTCCATAAAAGAGTGACCCGCCTCCTGACTGGTGATCTGTCTTCCCCAGCAGATTTTTCTTAAATGTCTGAATTTTGTCTGCCAGCAAATGCTCTACCCTGGTTTATTTGTTTCAGGGATCTCTGTCTTTTTCTGCTCCTATTTATTGTCCATTTTGTCCTCTTTTTTGGGTTACTTTTTTAAAAAATTGTGGTTAAACATATATAACATAAAATTTACCACATTAACTATTTTTTTTTAAATTTTAGAGATGAGTTTTCCACTATGGTGCCCACACATAATGGAACTCTTGGGCTCAAGCAGTCCTACTGCCTCAGCCTCCCAAATAGCGTTTTGACCATTTCTAAGTTTTTTAAATCATAAAGTTTGTTGTCAAAATAAGAAAAGATAATAGAGGTATCAGAGGGATATTTTTTCAGGACACTAATGATTGATTTTGTTGTTGTTTTGGTTAGAAAAATTACGATAATCACAGTGCATCCTTTGGGATTATTACATTGGGAAATTACATAATACCAGTTAACTATTTGGGATTATGTATTGTCTAACATTTATTGAGCAGTAATGAAACCCTTAGATTATGCCATGCTAGTCTATAATTTTGTACAGTTGCAGAAAAATATTTGTTCAAAACACTTCTGAAAAAATCCATGTAAGGCTGGATGTGGTAGCTCATGCCTGTAATCTCAGTGCTTTGAGAGGCCAAGGCAGGAGAATTGGTTGAGGTCAGAAGGTCAAAACCAGTCTGAGCAAAATAGCAAGACCTCATCTTCACAAAAGAATTTTTTAAAAAATTAGCCAGGAGTGGTGCTGTGTGCCTATCTATAGTCCTACTTACTCAGGAGGCTGAGATGGGAAACTCAGATCTGAGTGTAGGAGTTCAAGATTGCAGTGAGCTGTGAGTATACCACTGTATTCCACTCCAACCTGGGCAACAGAATGAAAGAAATCCTGTCTCAAAAAAAAAAAAAAAAGTGTTAATACACAGAAACCAAAGAAAAAATACATGAATTGGGCTTCATCAAAATTAAAAACTTTTATTCTTCAAAGGATACTATCAGAATAGTGAAATACAACCCTCAAAATAGGAGAAGCTAGGGTGGCACCTGTGGCTCAAAGGAATAGGGTGCTGGCCCTATATGCCAGAGATGGCAGGTTCAAACCCAGCCCTAGCCAAAAACTGCAAAAAAATAGGAGAAGCTATTCATAAAACAAATATCTGATAAGGATCAGTAGAATCTATCTAGAATATATAAAGAACTCTTACAACTCAATGATAAACACAGCTGAGGCTCAGTGCCTGTAGTTCAGTGGTTAGGGCACCAGCCACATACACTAGGACTGGTGGGTTTGAACTTGGCCTGGGCCTGCTAAACAACAATGACAACTACAACAAAAAAATAGCCAGGCATTGTGGTGGGCACCTATAGTCCCAGCTCCTTGGGAGGCAGAGGCAAGAGAATCACTTAAGCCCAAGAGTTTGAGGTTGCTGTGAGCTGTGATGTCACAGCACTCTAGTGAGGACGACTCTGTCTAAAAAAAATATAAAGACAACTGAGTTAAAAAATAGCAAAGAATTTGAATAGATATTTCTCCAGTGAAGATACACAAATGACCAGTAATCACATGAAAAGATGTTTAATATCATTAGTCATGATGGACCTACAAATCACAACTAGAATGAGATGCCAGTTCACACCTACTATGATGACCAGGAACAAAGATTTTCTGTCCATTTTAAACTTAGTACACACAAGAAGATAATAACCAGTGATGTTGGGGATTTGGAGAAAGTAGAAATATGTTGGTAGAAATGTTAAATGATGTTATAGCCACTTTGGGAAAATAGTAACTGCTCAAAAAGTTAAACATGGAATTGCCGTATGACCCAGTAGTTCACTCCTGGGTACTTATCCAAGAGAACTGAAAACATGTGTGAAAATGCTCCTAGCAATATTACTCATAATTTCTAAAAAGTAGGGAAAACTGCTGGGAAAAAATGTGGCATAGTTGTACAATGAAAAAGTATTCAATCATAAAAATGAAGCACAGGCTGGACATGTAAACTTAGCACTTTGGAAACCTAAGGTGGGAGGATTGCTTGAGCCCAAGAGTTTGAGATCAGCTTGAGCAACATAGTGAGACCCCCCCATCTTTACAAAAGATAAAAAAACTAGCCCAGGCATGGTGGCACATACTTGTAGGCCTACTTGGGAGGCTGAGGTAGGAGGACTATTTGAGGCCAGGCATTTGAGATTGCTGTGAACTGTGATGGCACCACTGCATTCCAGTTTAGGCAGCAGAGAGACTCTGTCTCAAAAAAACAAAAGAAAACAAAAATGAAGCATAGATACATACTGTGATGTGGATGAACTTTAAAAACATTCTTAGTGAAAAAAAC